TTGATATTGAAATGACAACTGTATAATTCCATTTTTCATGCTTTCAAGTACGATATGATGCAATGAAATCTGGTTCTAATTGATGTAGACAAAACAAGTTACATTGTTTTGCAATTTTACTTATCCGCTTCTACAGTAAACCCCAACTCTTTTGACCTCCTAAAATGTAATGTTAACCCCAATCAGAAAAATAGTTAAGGCACAAAAGGAGACATAAGGTCGTGTTTAAACAGAGACTCACGTTTTTGTTTAGAATTGTTGCGAACATATAATAAATGTAGTGCGGAGAAAGAAAGATTTTTGATAAGAATCACTAGAAACGGAGTAAAAACAAAAAGTCAGTAAACTTCTATCGGGAGACTTAATAAAAATACCGGTCATATCATAATTAACACTTATCTAAATCTTACAAGTATATATGATAACTGGAAGCACGTTATCAACTGTTCATGTGTGATGCACATTCATTGTTTTAAACGTATTTGTTAGAGTAACATCTTTTGTATCAAACATTAAAGCTAAATGCATGAATATATTACTTAATGATCACTGTATGAATACGATCAGTAAAAATTAGGTCAGTATTAGACTGACATGTTAATTTTGTATTCATCGCATAAATCAAATATGTATAGGACCTTTCACTGGAAAATCTACCTTCCCATAAAAATTTAACGTCGATCAATGAACCATGCACAAAATAGGGTATTATTTGAACCCTGCAAGATGAGCATTTACACTATCATTTTTTCTATTCACTCTCTAATAGTATTATTTTAACATTGTTTTATCAATTGTAGCTTCTAACTTGTAAGTTATAGAATCGTCGGAATTGACATAATTACGACGATTAACGATATTAAATTGAGCAGCCACATGTCTTGCATTCTACGACATTTGTCGCAGGCGAGACTAAAAACAGTGAGAAAATCACATAGTCTTATAATTCTGCTTCACCACTAGTATACATGTAGATAAGGTAAGGGCCTTGTTTTGTTATCTGAAATCCTCAACATTATTTGAATGGAAAACAGAAACAAAGAATGCCCAATAAGATATGTAACAAATTATATTAAAATAGCATTGAAGTAAGATTATTGTTTAAGGAGGAGTGTGGAAAAAAAATGTCTTGCACTTTTATCGATATAGAAAATTTTATGCATAAATATGGAAAATTCAATGATATTGGCATTCAGAAATAAAAAGGAGACATATGACATCATTATACACAGACGAGTTTGTAAAACTACCATTTTAAAGATTCAGTGTCGTTTTTAAAAAGACACGAGGGAACAAAGAACGGACATATGTCATTTGGTATATAAAAGTTGTGACACTCACTGTGATGTATCTTTGGTGAGTTTCTATAGATGTCGTCGAATATTTGGCATATATAATTTGGAGTTTAGTATGACGTCCATTATCACTGAACTAGTATACATATTTGTTTAGGGGCCAGCTGAAGGACGCCTCCGGGTGCGGGAGTTTCTCGCTGCATTGAAGACCCATTGGTGGCCTTCGGCTGTTGTCTGCTCTATGGTCGGGTCGTTGTCTCTTTGACACATTCCCCATTTCCATTCTCAATTTTATATAAGGTCTAATCAATAAAACTAATATGTTGCTCCTATAACATTTTATTCATCGCTAAAATTATATCTAGCTCTGCAAGAATGTTTATGAGAGCAATCTGAAGGACGAGTAAGCAGCAAAGATTGGCTAACTACAGTCCTCATACAATAAAATTTCCTTACAAATGTCAAACTCTCCCCCGTGGAATGGCGAATTGTCGTATAAATATAGATAACAGTCATGCATGTAATATAACCAATCTTCTGATTTTAGGTCCAGAAACAAGTGCATATGACAAAGCATTGTCAATATTTTTTGTTGTTTCACTGTCATCCTTTGTGTAATGAATAGCTCTTTTGCAATTGTACCACATCTACTTCTTTTTATATTTGATTGTTTTTGTTAGTGATTCAATTATACATGCGATTTTTTTTCAGTATATTGCAATGAAGAGTATTCATTTTCAATGTTTTGTTTTCACTTTCTGTTACATCGCATGTAACAAGTAAACAATACTTTTCTCAATTGAATTAATTCATATTTTTCCTGTCGGGGCCTTTTATAGCCGACTATACGGTATGGGTTTTTCTCTTTTTTGAATACCGTACGGTTGCCTATAGTTGCTTTCATTCACTTCAAATGAACTTTGGTGCATAGTTGTCTCATTGGCAATCATACCACATCTCCATATCTTTATATTACTCATTCGAACTACTATTTATTTTATTTATAAAGATGGCATGATATATAAAAATATTCGGGCGCTTGTCAATGTTAGAAACAGGATATATTTATATCCCTTATACATATTTTAATTATAGTTAGTTTTATGTAAATATACTACTAATCTTAGGATATTGAGATTAATTGCCTTAATTATAAATACGCTTGACATATAAGTCATAATCTGCCAACCATATGACATTTAATAAATCAACATATTACATTGAATAAAACAAAACAGTGTGTACACAGGTATGTATATATAAGATGTATATTTTTCCTGCATGACTTTTAAGACGTTTATAATTTGCAGTACAAAATATCTCAGCTATGGTAGTTTTATCGAATGGATTCCTTTTTTGGAACCATATCAGAAATTAATTGAACTTTAATTCAACTAAGGTCAAATCCAACATAAATGGCATTTCACTAAAGCATGGACGTACGCACATGTTAGATAATATTGAAAAACAAAAATATGTCAAACTTTTTTTTTAAATATTATCAGAATGGATACGTTTTTTGTCTCATTATGAATTGGACTGAGTTCGAAGGGCACCGTAACGTTATTATTCCTGGAGAGTCAAAGGTACGAATGAATGACCGGAAATGAGTGTATAAGTTAAATGTCGTTCAGTTAATTTTTCTTGAGTTTGCAGTTAATGAATATTTCCCCTTGATGCATTCTAAGAACAGCAACTTTTTTTTTATAAAGGTCAGAGCCAAAATGTGAAATAAATTGAAATACAATGTAATCAATAAAACTATGTTCAGGCTTACAAAACTTTAGGATTGTTGTTCGATTATAGGAGTTAAGTCGCATGCATTTCATAGATAAATTGACACGGATGCACATGAAAGCGTGAAGTTGCTGCATTGTTACGTGACGTCACTACCTTATATTTTCGAAGTCACGTCCTGTCCATGATCTTAAGACTAGACAAATATTAGGCAGTAGGATGAAAGGGAGAAAGTACAAACTGTCAATTATAATGTTGGTTTTATCACTCTCAAGATAAGATATTAAATATCCATGATGCCACACTTCCTATCATACTTGCTTGATAAAGACATTAAAGTGGACGTTATGATAGTGACACGAGGAAAAAAATTGGTATGCTGCCTCCTTTACATTGAATAACAAGCAACTAGCAAATTAATGTTGATCTGAAACGGTCGTTTTGATCTTAACAGCTCTTAAAAGACTGAACAGTAAAAAAATTCAGTCTTATCCACTGCGGTAAATTCAGTACTGTTCAAACAGTTCGCTAGCAGTCTATATTCAGACTTTTAGGTGCACCACCAACATATTGATTTGTCTGAACAGCTACTTAACAGTACTGAATTGACTGCAAGCGAATTGTCTGTACATTACTGAATTTCCCGCAGTAGATGAGACTGAAAGACTTAATATAACTAAATAATTCATTGTTCAGACTTTTCGGTTACTAGTGCTAGGAGATCTGGAATATGCTTTAATGAGATAAAAACAAAACGAAAAGATATGTAGGGTCAATATGCTATCTTCAGCAAGACACATATGCCCCACTCTTTTCATTCAAATGTAAAAAAAAGTGGCGGAAGATACTAATGGGACATGTAAAACTCGGAAGTCGATGGGAAACTGACAACGCTATGGCAAAAAACGTTCACAAAACATGAAATATGGTGACTGACAATATGAACCCTACCATAAACGCGGGGTTCTTGGGTCATAATAAAGCAACAGCACTACCTTCCCCGGCTTTTCATCTCGCATATCAAGAATGAAAGTATGATTTTATCAAGCGGAGATACGTCCGACATTCAAGCTGCAATACAAATGCAATGATACTTAGACATCTATAATACCTTATATTTCTCTGATGAAATTCACTCTATAAATACATTCAAAATTATACCGTCAAGTCATCTGAATATTTTAAAAAATATTTCAAAATTGACTTGAACGCTTACAATTCGACCATTGACTATGAGTAACGATTAACGACTTTTCATACAAACGTATTTAACTAAGAAACTTAAATAATCGAACACGTAAAGGTCATTTTAGGTAACAAAATAATACTCTATATCGTTCTGATGCATACATTGTCTTTAATTAGGCGGCATATAGAGTAGCGAAAATATTTCTATGTCAACGGAGATGACTGCAATACCTACATTTGGAAAAGAAATCAAGAAAACAGAGTTTACCCTGAAGGATGGAGTGGTGTTCGTTAATCATGGATCGTATGGAGTTGTACAATAAACGCGGGGTTCTTGGGTCATAATAAAGCAACAGCACTACCTTCCCCGGCTTTTCATCTCGCATATCAAGAATGAAAGTATGATTTTATCAAGCGGAGATACGTCCGACATTCAAGCTGCAATACAAATGCAATGCTTTCGTGAAATTCACTTTAATATCATTTGACACATAAAGTAACATACTTAGACATCTATAATACCTTATATTTCTCTGATGAAATTCACTCTATAAATACATTCAAAATTATACCATCAAGTCATTTGAATATTTTAAAAAATATTTCAAAATTGACTTGAACGCTTACAATTCGACCATTGACTATGAGTAACGATTAACGACTTTTCATACAAACGTATTTAACTAAGAAACTTAAATAATCGAACACGTAAAGGTCATTTTAGGTAACAAAATAATACTCTATATCGTTCTGATGCATACATTGTCTTTAATTAGGCGGCATATAGAGTAGCGAAAATATTTCTATGTCAACGGAGATGACTGCAATACCTACATTTGGAAAAGAAATCAAGAAAACAGAGTTTACCCTGAAGGATGGAGTGGTGTTCGTTAATCATGGATCGTATGGAGTTGTACCAACACGTGTACAACAGGCACAAGATAGGTAGGACAACAACTTTATCATATATATTGAATACCTTGATGGATTATAATACTGGTGTATAGAAATATGACTACATGAACTGACAGTCATAAAACTTTCGAGTACAATTATCACACTCAGACTCAGAATCGACTAATCAAAATACTTAATTTGGTGTTTCAGTACAGATTTTGTACTCCGAGTATTGAGTAAAGTTTTATGACCAACATTCCTAGAATTCTCCCATGCGACAGTTAAAGTCATGCTTAAGAAAATGTCCTTTTGAAAGTGCAGGATGTATAGATATGAGTGCATGCCTGGTCGATACTGATGTGTTGTATAGTGAGAGTGCAATACTCTGTGCATGTAATAGAATTCGTGTTACAACTTTTGGAAAGGCTAATAGGTTGCAAGGTTAAATTCTCTCCAAATTTAAGATAACTCCATTTATCATTAGCAGTCATCCTGTCATCCCTGTCCATTCACTGTGGATGATCTACATTTTGCAAAATTTTAACTATTAAAGTAAATAAAAAACAATTCAGAAAAACAAAAAGATGTCTTCATTAAAAAAAAACATGTAACTATTTTAAATTCTCTTCGATGATCTACTATCATTACTGATAATGATTTTCCTACTGAATGATAGGAGTAGGACACACAACGAACCCATCGACACAAACAACTATAAGAGGTAAACATGCAGACGTCAACATAGACTGGTGTCCTTACAATATGTCAGGCTCAATCGCTAAGTGACTGAAACGTGATGAGTTAATGTAACACGACTATATTAGATATTTGCCATCAACACCGGTGTACTGTACACACAAAGTGAAAATTACCATAATGTCTTCAACAACCAGTGTAAACTAACACATTAAAAATGGCGCAATAAAGTAAGAATATCCTTGATCAAAAACCCAATGCATAGGCCTTATATAAAAATTACATCGAAGACATTGAGAGATTGTTCATATTTTTTTTTAATTCTAACCAGAATTATTGGTGAAATGAGGGACCACCCAGACTTATGGTGGCGTCACAATTTAAGATTGAGTATAGAAGAATCTCGGAAATGTGTTGCTGAGTTCGTACAAGCTGATACTGACGATATAGTATTTCTTCAAAATGCTACTTCAGGTTAGTTTAGAAGAGCAATTATAGTATTTGAAAAGTTAACATTGAGTTCAACAATAAACAGGTACACATGGAGTAGGAGCATTTATTCAAAATTTAAAGTTTACAGTGATCTTAAATTTACACTTGCAAGGCTAAGTTTGAACGTGTTCAGAAATCAAAACATGGATTCTACATTTGACGAGTTATCATCATGATCATGACAACAAACCATGGCAAGATATGGGTAATTTTATTTGGTAAAATTTTAGAATTTTTCCTATAGGTCTCATTTCTTAAATAAAAAAACATTAAAAGGTAGCCGGAATTAACAACAATTGCGGACATTTTAATAAACCACACCAACAACTAACATTCAACATCTCCGACAAATACACATGGACCAAAAAAAAAAAGAAAGCTTCTTTAAAATTCTCTAGAATTGTATAAAATAAACATTTTACTTTCATTTTTTATTTGTGAAATTGACGGATATTATGACACATTTATTACGTCAAAACATTGAGCATTTTACTGCCAAGAGTATATTTCCCATGCCATTTTCCAATTTTTTTTAGTTTTTTCTTTGTTAATCATGCATAAAATGGATAACAGAAATAACAAACAAAAAAATATGACAGTACAACGGACCATACCAACAATAAACACATGAATCCACCGACAAATAGTCGCTCAGACAATACGTGGTGTAGATAGTCTGATTTGGTACAGGCCATTAATCATTTAGAATCAATTTTCCTAACTGGTTATCTATATCGATATAGCTCGGCATAAAGAGGTCTCTACAAATATAATGACTACCAATGCCAAAAATAAGCAAAGTTTGTTTAATTCAGCTGCTTGTGTTTTTTTTTCTATATTCACTTAGATTCTTTGTTTGAATTCAGCAGATAATAATTTGCCCTTTTCCCTAAATTCTAATTTTTTTCAATATCTCAGTGCCTGTATTTGTTACTTTGAAATATGTATTGGTTATTATAGGCATATGCAGTGTGTTGAGATCGCTGCCATTTAAATCAGGAGATATCATTCTGTGTACAGATAATTCCTATCAATCAGTAAAATATGCAAGTGAATTTATAAGAGAATCGAGTAATGGCAAAGGTATAGTACTTGATGGCAATTGTCAAATGCATATCCATTAGAAAACCTCCTAGTAAAAAAATGATTTTTTAAAATGTTTCGCAAGGTTCTGGAAGGTTGTAGCAAAGATTTATATAAAAAAAAACATCATTGATAAGTTCACTTTATATAGATCATCAAATTCTTCAAAATAATGTAAACATATGTATGGGGCTCAGCTTGATGTGTTTTCATGATTCATACTAACATTTTGTACATATTTCATTATGAAAAATATATATCAACATGTGCTAAATATACCACATTTCCTGGAAGATTTATAGATGACATTGTTGTCAAACAAAGGAAAAACGACCATATTTATAAATATTGAGCGTATATTTCTTTTCAACGTTAATATACGTCCACATCAAGTTTTACTTACTATTTAACAGGTGTTCTAGTAGAATATTTGACATTAAAGTTTCCAATCAACAGTGAAAATGATGTCGTGGAGCTATACAGGGAATTCTTCAGAAATAACCAAAATGTTAAACTTGTAATAATTGGTTAGTATTGTAGTAAATTAAGAACTAAAAGATAACCTTCCTGTTTCTGGTGAGTACAGTTGCAGTGTTGGGAAAATGTCGGGAGTGAATTCGGAAGGAATATATCGTTTAAAAAAAATAATGGCCAAATCCATCTAAGATCGATTTTACCGGAAAGAAATGGAACCTTAGTTTCTTAACAATATCTATATTTCCGAACGGAAAATTTAAAAAAAAAAAAAAGGTTTGTTATAAACCGAAGCTCTGACTACTAAGTTGGTGATACCATAGGGGACTTGTATATAAAAATAAGAAGATGCAGTATGATTGTCAATAAGACAACTCTCAACCACAGTCCAATTGACATAGAAGTTAACAATTATAGGTCACCGTACGGCTTTCAACAATGAACAAAACTAAAACCGCTCTATAGTCCACTAGCATTTTCAACCCAGTTAGCTGCTATATAAAAAATGAAAAAAATACCTTATAAATTTATGCGTCCTAAGCTTTTTTCTGGATTAACCTTCATCTTGAACATCCAAAGCCAAAGCATTGAATGCCAAGGATGCACAAGTACCGTGTTCCGTGGAGAGTGTTATTTTAATGGAACTGGATGACGTTTGCTGTCAATTCTACGTTTGACGGTTATTTTCAACAACTTCGCCTATTTTTGTATCACTCTCACAATCTACACTTTTCGCATTAAAAAACTGTTAGACAATCTTTACCAAAGATTTGTTCCATTTGAACACGTAAAGGATATTTGTATAACTACTTAAAGTGCTTGATTGTCGTGACTTTGACAGAATAGACTTGACTCCAAGGGTGACTGGGAAATATAAATATACCGTAGTCACTTAGGTCTTCTTTCGACCTTCAGTATTACCCTTGCAAATGTTGGGCGTCCGTTTGGCTGTGCGGGATGTACAAGTTCGTAGCCGACGGCGTGCACTAAGTTGGCGGCAACTGTAAAGTGCGCTTTTCAAAGTAGTTTTAAGCAACCGTTTTTGAAATATCTTTTAAAAAGGAAGTTTTTTTTTGTGATAAAATGATGAATGCTAGCCATTGAAATCCACATTACTAGTAAGGTTATCAAAATTAAATCTATAAAGTATATGAAACGAACATAGAGAAAACGGCAAAAATATGTGAAACTTGTAACATTGAATAAGCATAAAATAGAGATTTTGACCTAAAATTTATACAAATTCAACAGACTTTCCCGCACCAGCACAGCTCCACGTTCGGTCAGAATGGGGACGTCTAATTCGATGCCTCGCGTAAAGAGAGTTACTTCTCTACGCGTTAGGAACCCTTGCAACAATTCTTTGAGGGGTTCGTAGGTGGCTTGTTGCAAGGCAAAATTTCTGTCCCTATCCAATATATCCGCATTTTCCAGTGGCAGTCCAAATTTCCCTGGACTGCCTCTATTACAGGACTTACCAATTGTATTTATTGTTAATTGCTTCTCGTCCTGAACATATATATATACATAACATATTTGCCACTGGACATTAAACAACCAATATAAATCAATCAATCAGAATATACTTGTGTTTTTTTGTATTCAATATTATATTTTTCTATACCGTGCAGGCCCTTTTATGTCGCTAAATGTTTTTATTTCTATTTTACGTCTAAAACTTCTATTCGTTTGTTCTTAGCGTAAATTTTGAATCCAAATAAAATTGAGAATAAACAACCCAAAACCATGCACCTATGGGTCTTCAACACAGCGAGAAAATCCCGCACCCGGAGGCAGGCTTCAGCTGGCCCCTAAACAAAAATGTGCACTAGGTGAGAGAAAATGGACGTCACACTAAACTCCGAAACATATAGATGAACCAAAATTTTTTAAAAAATCCATACAAGACTAACAAAGGCCAGAGGTTCCTGACTTGGGACAGGCGCAAACATGCGGCGGGGTTTAACATGTTTTGTGAGATCTCAACACTCCCCTATACCTCTAGCCAATGTAGAATAAACAAACACATAGCATTACCGAAATCGGTTTTACACAAATCGTATATCGTGAGCATTGAAATAGGTATTAATCGGGTAGTTTACTAATATTTGGTTGGTATAACTGCTTGTGACTTGTAAACCTGCCCAAGAGCAATCGCTAGTGCTGACGATACAAAGTGATTTTAGTTTTTCAGGTTCTATTTTTTTTTAATCTATCAAACTTAAGGTACAATTAACTCTATCGGATAAAATTGAGCTAAGATGTGTTTGCTTTTCAAATCTGGTTTTGTTGTCTTGAGGAGCTCGTCATTATTATCAAATTATATTACATAAACATTTTCTTTTTTGATTCCCGAAATTTCGGTCTCAGGGGTACCTTGACAAATGTAATCAGGAGTACGTGCCTTGAGCACAATAACTATTATTCGTTTCTATTCTTTTAGATTGTAGGGGTGTCCCAATTGAAATGATAAAACAAAATAAAATGGGCGATGTGAACTTACAGGACAAACGAAGGAGCTATGAAGTTCTACTTTGCGCGTAGTTTAATGACACAAAATTAAAGTCGTTGTGGTTGTGAGTGAAAGGTCAAATTGCTCAAATTATAAACAGAATATTTTGTACAAATAACTAGTAGGTTTATTGACCTTTTTAGACCATATAACGAGCCCTTCAGCCATCGTTATGCCTGTAAACAAGCTGGTTGAATTGTGTAGAGAATATGGTATACTGAGTTTAATAGACGGTGCCCATGCACCAGGTCAGATTCCTCTGAATTTGAGACAGCTGAAAGCTGATTTTTATATAGGTAAGCACAAAATAAAGTAGACACATTAACTAAGTCATAACATCAAAACATCGTTTAATACCTTATTTTGTTAGATCATAGTTAAGATATAAATAAGAAGCAAACAAGCCTGCACTAAATTGGTCCATTGCAGACACTAACATATCTTTGTGATAAATATTGCTGCTTATTGGTTCTCTTTATCTATCAAAGATTTCATGATAATAACATACAACACAAAAATGGTTTAAAAGATGCAGAAGCTATTATAAGGAGTCGATCGATCATTTCGTTAAGTTGCATTACGTGTATGTGTATGTCTTATCGCCGATCATTTTGATAACTTGCAGTTTCTCTTTCATTTTATAGTTTCAAGTTAATATCTATAAACGCAAAAAGAGCAATAACTCTTACTGAGGGACGATAACTAATCAAAGATTCCACTGACGATTTCAATAATCGGACTGTCTTGTCTTAGTTTGCTGGTCATTTCTACAGATACCATGATATCTCTTTATCATTGTAGGTTTCAAGATAATTACAAAACAAAACGCAAAATTTGGTACAAATAGTCCTTTTATTTTAATATTTCCTTAAAGAAGTAGAAATATGATTTCGAATCAAAGAAAAGTAATAGTAGATAATGAAGATCTCATCGCTTTATTTGTGTATCTGTAATTTCTTTTTTAAATAAAAGCCAAAAATGAGTTTACTCTTATGTCCTGTTTTAAGCCACAGCTGCGACCATGTGTTGACAGACTTAAATGGCACCAACTTTAAACTAAATACCTAAAATAATTATGGGGAAGTTGGCCCAGATGAATCAATTGATTTTAGACGAGAAGATTTTTGAAAGCGTTTACTTCTACGGACGAAATGGTCCAAAGTAAGTCAAAATGACAATAAAAGATGTCACTTCTGGATCACTGAAGATCACCCCCGGTTTTGACGGGGATCGTGTTGTCCGGTCTTTGGTTTTCTATGTTGTGTTTGGTATACTGTTGGTCTTTTTGACTTTTTGTTTTCATTGTTTGCCATGACGTTGTCAGTTAATCATCCACTTATGAGTTTGAATATCCCTTTGGTATCTTCCGCCTCTCTTTAACGTTTTATTTGTGAGGTTTACTATAGACTACGTTGGAAAAAAATCATAATATATTTTATAGTCTAAAAATCAAGAAAAAAACTAGTTATGAGTAACAAATATAATTTTAATTCCATTAACAAAATAAAAACTGAACGACAAATTCTCATATAGAAATAATATATTTTTTGGGTACGCAGCATTTACAGATTGGAAGTATTTTTTCTAAGTTCTGTGAAATGATATATCATTGCGCTCTTGGAATATTTCTAAAAGTCATTTTCTATGAATACGCTTTGATCACTAATACGAAAATATGTGAATGATTGTCAGTTTTTAAAACCAGTGCATTTTGTTTTATAATTTTTTTTAGCTTAAGCTTTGGATCAAATTCCATTTGAATGCATGTTGTTAATTGATGTATTGATGTATGCTTAAGAAGACACATTGTCGACTATGTAATGTCATGAAATTCAATATTTTAGGAAATCTTCATAAATGGCTCTACACACCTAAAGGATGTGCAATATTATACATTAAAAAAGACCATAAAGATTATATAAAGCCTTTGGCAATATCCCATGGATACAAGAAAGGCATTTTAACTGATTTTTTTCACCAAGGAACACGTGACGACAGTGCATATTGTGTTGCACCTGTAGCCATTCAGTTCTTTAACGATATTGGTGGTCATGTAAGTTTAATATTGATAAGATTTTGTTTTAAAAAAAATATTGATAATGAGGATAATGTCAATACAGGTAAATGATATCAAAGACATACATTGACAAAAAGAAACCAACATAGCAAGGACGGATATCTTCAGCATGCATTTACCACATTCTGATATGGGAAGAAAACCGCAACCGCCACTGCTCAAAAATATTTATAAGCGAACTTATATAAATCCTGATATTCAACAATAGCCATGTTATATTTTATATGTACAAGGACATCTAGATATTATTGTTATAAATACAATATGCTTAGCATTAGGTATTTCTAAGGACTGTTCCAGTAATCCATTCGTTTGATGTGTTTTAGCTTTTGATTTTGCGATTTTATAAAGGACTTTCCTTTTTGAATTTCCCTTGGAATTCGGTATTTTTGTTATTTTAATTTTTAATGAAAAATTAAATCTAAAAACATAACAATTTAAAAAAAGAGAAAGTTGTTTAACAAATAAAGAATATCAAACAATTTATCTTAAAGGACAAGATACAAGCGTATACTGATAAATTATTGTGTGAAGCAGTCAAACTTTTAACTGACGCATGGGGAACTGAGAAACTTGCAATTCCTATGTCCATGGAAGCACCATTCATGAGAATTATAAAACTTCCAAAATTAAAAGTCTTCGCTGGATTGACGACATTCGTAAGTAAGACTTGAGTTGTGACTGAACTTATTTTGTTTCTTTTGAAATACCTACATTTCATAATAAACACTAAAGGAGTTATACGATCCCGCAATAATGATGGTCCCGCATTGATGCTTTTTTTGGAACTTTACAATTATGTTACATAATAATGCTATATTTTCTTAGCTTCCTACATTTCCAAATACTTTGAAATGTTACATATGGTTGTCTACATTCATTTCTTAGCAAATTTTCTGATTTTCGTTTTTGAAGGATCAAAATAAAAAGTGAGCAATTTTATACCTTTTATTTCATAGTTGGAACCATTGAAAGGAAACTGAACGGATGACAAAGTCTAATGATCCTTGTCTGGCCTGTTGATGGTCATATATAACTGCATCATACCGATGTTAGTGTGCACGATATAGGCTTACAAAATAACTGTCATTGGGCAAACTCGATATACAAATTTAAGTAGCCTAATTACAGAAAACATCAGGACAGCCATATTTATGTTAAGTCAGCTTGTGAGCCATAAGACATTTGTGTCATGAATTTACACATTATTGGAAATAATGTAGGGGAAAAATAAACAAAACCTGATTTATTGTATAGCATCATAATATTTCCGACAGAACCCAACGAAAAGTAAGCTTGCAATCTTCAATGGCATTAGTGCAAATATATCTCCAAATTGTCAAAAATATGTTTCAATCAGTATTTAAAAGAAACGAACAACACAATTTATAAGTTCATGCGTCCGAAGCTCTTTTCTGGATTAACCTTTATCAGGAACGATCAAAGTCGAATATTTGAAAGCCAAGGATGTATAAGAACCGAAAAATTAGACGAGCTATATGACCAAAAATGACATGAAAATTATAGTCAAATCCATTTAAGATTTGTTATACAATAAATAAAATGGTTATTGAACGAATATTTGTGAGTTTTATCTCTCGCAGATTTATATAAAGCTTCCTTATATATTGAAACAACGTATGTATTCTAAAATGGAATTATTAGAATTATATATTTTTATTTTCTAAATTATCAAATTTTTACTATATTTTTGTCCGGATGGGTGATTGTAATATTTTATAATTATGTCATATTTTGTAGGATGAAGTTGAACCAATTATCATAGACCACCTGGTAAACCATAATGTTTCAAGTCAGTATACATTTGTTGACGGAGATATATGTATTCGTATCAGTGCTAATATTTACAACTCAATCGAGGACTACCAAAAACTCGCCAACTTCATATGTAATCTGATGCAATAAAGTGCAAACTGAAAAACCACCAGTAACTATATTCACTATGCAAAGTACGATGAAATATAACATCACAAATTTTGCCTTTTAAGTTTTTTATTCGAATGTCATTGTTGAGTCTTCTGTTAACGAAACGCGCGTCTAGCGTACATCATTTTAAGCCCATGTAAACTAATAAGTGTTGTTTTTATTTTATTTTAATCACTCATATATTCTTATACAAAGTCTACTTCTTTAAGAATATGGACTTAAGCTGTGAAAAAGTTTTTTTTTTGTCCGCATATGAACGATGTATGTGAAGTATCATATGTCTAAAGTAGTTTAAAATAAAAAGCGCCGAACATAATTTTTTACTATTTTGTTTTCTTCTACATTGAATTTAGGATAGTTAACCATGTATCACATATACGTTCATATTGTTCTAAAATGTACAAAAAATATCGTTATGTCTGCCTAGCTGTCAAATTCATGTTTATCGATTTGACTCAAATTCTTATATTTGATTTATAAGATACTAAAACGTTTTTCCAAATTACAAAAAGTCTAAAATAGACAACTAACAATGCATGGACTCAATAGAATGTATGAACATTTCGTGTGAATTTCAGTCTAGACACCATCTAAGAAACAACCGATATGACCCCCCTCCCTCGAAGACAACCGACGGTCATCCGATATAAACATAAATATAAATATAAATAAATAGAGAGCACGTGCAATTGCATTTTTCTAGGTGTGTTTGATTTCATGTTATAGGTTATTGAAATATGTTAATCATCTTTTTACCTGTATAGGAACGATTTTTGTGGATCGAATCAGTCAACGAAATGGTTAAACCTTGTTTCACTCTCAATGTTGACATTTTTTCCAGTTAATAGTTGAACACGCCTAGTACATGTGTGACCCATCTCCATCGAAAGCGTGAAATTGAAGGTCACACGAATACGGATTTACATGCGGTTGAATTATTGACTTGCAAGTCAAACATGCATCAGCGAAGTTTTTGAGCTTTTATTTTGATATATTCGGGCTGTCTGCTTATAACGGAATTTCATTTCAAAATTCCGCTTTCATTAACACTTAGAACAAAAAGAATTGTATATTAAATCTTTGTCTAAATCGTAGCTAATGCCCTTTTAACAAATATTATCTGGCAATAAAAAAGGATACTGAAACGATTATATAAATTAAGGTGACAGTAGTTACAGATAATCAAATCTCGTAAATAGATAAGGATGAAATATATAAAGGTGATAAACAAAACTGAGGGAATCGCATTAACCCCAAAAGCAGCGAGAACGAATGCGTCGACAGTGAAAGCGTCTCCTGATTTACATGCATCACCCACCATGCGAATTCACATTTAGTCAAATTGTCACAATCGGGAATAGGACACAACTGGTGCAAATAAATAGCAGAATACTTTGCTGGTATCTTAAGATTAGCACATCTCTGAAGTATCAAATTTAAATCTTAAAAACTTAATTCTCGGATAGCTTTGGTTTTTTATGTTCAGGAATCTCAGTTTAGGAGGTTTCCCTTTAGCATACATATGTATGCCAAATGAAACATTCCTAAACAAGGCATGCAGTTTTTGCAGGAAAAAAAAAGCACCAAGAACTTTTATGACTTTGTAACAAGGACAAACTGTTGAACATCATACGCCAATTTTAGATCAGACAACATCATTTTGTTTATAGGGACGAATTAGATTATTTTAATATAATTATATTTAAAAGCTGTGATTTTCAATTTCAAATTATGAAATACTATTTTCTTACCTAAACTAAATATTTATTAACCTTATTTTCTAATAGTACACTAAAACTGTATCCTAAAACGTTCGGATTCTCCTATGATATATTCTCCACTTCAAACAATATGAATAACGGGGGTGGGGGGGGGGGGGGGGGGGGTGGGTGTTTGAAACAGTAAACTAACGACACAGTAGACTAAACGCAATAAAGATTTATTTCATCTTTCCAATCAAGTTAAAATGAAACAAATTATGGTGAAGATTTATATTCTTGCACCATTTGTTGTATAGTATTTACGTGGAACTATACCTTTTAGGCGCTTGTAAAGGCAAACAGTTGTAAACTGAAATTTTACAGAACAGATTTCTTTCTCTATTTTAGTCATGTTAGTTTTAGTTCAATAACGTGAAATTGATTTCTTCAACTTTACTCCTTAAACATGTAAGACGTCGAATTAACTTCTTTCAGTTATTTGCATTTTGTACTTATTTACCTTTAATATAAATATTTAATAACATACGCAATGAAATACTTTTAATTTGTGTTTGAATTTCCATAAAACTGAATGAATACTTACGTCAGATTTTATTTCAATAAAATCATTAAATCTGTTTGCTCCAATGCACAATATTGATGTATGTAATGTTTACAAATGGCGGAGGGCGCAACATCATAATTAGAAAAACCAAAGGTAAATTTTATTTCTATTGAAATTTTTTATCTGAATTCTGAGTGTATGTATATGTTCCCGTGGTGAAATTTAATCATTTGCATTTTAAAATTCAGAATATTGAAAAGAGTGAAAGCGTGGTGACCGATTTTGGGGAATGGACGATTTTAGGGGGGATGGCAGGATATGATAATACTAGTATAAATAATTTCAATAGTGAAGATTATAAAAAATAAGATTGAGGTATTTCTCGTTACCAACGTTTACAACTTACTATTATTCATATGGTTTTTTTTTTTAATTATTTTTCGCAACTTTTCGAAACATCTTTAAACAGAAAATACGCATCATATCAAATTATCTTCGTTATCAAGTATTGGGCCGAAATAACCCTTTCGAAATCGATCTAGACCAAACTATCTTTTATGAAGTTATCTCCCTATAGCTCTAAGCCGATATATAAACTAACTGTCAACCTTAATTTCGAAAGTTGTAGAGACCGTAAGTCTTTGACGTTACTCTTTTTGATACAGTGACCTTTCTACATTAGAGTTTGCCATGAAATGAACTCGGGAACCGTATTACTTAGCGAAAGTGTAAATTGTGAAAAATGTTTGAACATTAATCAACAATATCTTTATGTTTTACCCAAACAAAACTACGACCACTTTGTAAGGAAGATAACCCCATCGATTCACAAATGAACTACTTAACATGTGAAATTGATAATATCAGTTTTCCTAAAGTCAAAGGTTAACCATGACATATTCATATTCAACCATTTAATTTCAATATGCCGGAAACTGTATGTTTTGACCAAGAAAAAAAAACCCCGCGATATTCCCATTTAAGGTTCCAGAAGTGCAATAACCGGCCATAACTAGGACCAAGTGTTTTCATCATTGGCATATGACTTTAAACAAATGCCCAGATCAAAACATCCTGTGTACCATGTACCTCGTAACTGTATACTTTGGGACAATGATGATATTTTCTATTTGCGGGAACAAGTTTGCTACCAAAATCCTAGTTTTTGCTAAAGTTATTTTTGTTGACATTCAGTGCAGCATTCCTTTCATACGGTACAATTTTCAACCAAAAAGGGCAATTCAGGTTTCGTAAATTTCTTTCAAGTTTACAAAGGTAACAGGCAGCCCTATATTTGTAGAATTCGTAGGGCCTGAACTACCAAATGGGATCATTTTCACCCAAACATGGCACTTTTTAAAATTCTGTACCTAGTTCATATATATATACAAGTAAACATACAACCTACACCCTGGTACTTATATTCTGGCATTGCATAAGGTCATGCTTTTATCAGCTGTTTACGACGTCTTCACACGAATATGGTGGATCTGTATTGATTGATATTTTAGTCTGGGAAAATACGATTCATTTATCAGTTAAAATCAACTTTGAATATGCTTTCAGTAACTACAAGTACTCTTAGACTTTGCTTTTTTGTCTTATTATAAGGTTTTTTCATCTTTACTTCGTATCGATATGATGAGTCTTTCCACTTCTTACAGATTTTTGCAGTGAGTGCGTATATTTCGCTGCTACACAACTAACCCTACGATATTATGTATGTGCTTGATACAAGTGAGAAGTCTATAATTTCAGTGGTTGTCGTTGATTGGAGTCTACCATATTTGTTTTGCGTTCAATTTATTGTTTTTATAATAAACCATGCTAGTGGTTTTCACCTATTTTTAAATGCAGTAGACTTTTATATCTAATTATATGGTATAGATTTTGATTTTTGTTGAAGATCGTAGAGTGACTGATTGTTGTTAACATCTGCGGGTCTCTGGTGGATATTAGTCTCATTGGCAATTATACCACATCTCTTTAGTTTTAGTCTTTTGTACATCCTTTGTAAGTATTCTACTCTTAGCTCTGTACTTCATGTCTTTTGTTGTAAGTTTAGTATTTTGTGTTTCGTGCAAATATGATGGTTTATGCCATTTTCAACATATTTGTAGTTTGTTTTAATATTGTGCACAGCCAAATTAAATTATCATTGATAAGGTCAAAATTATAAACTAACTGTTAATAAAACTTTGAATTTTCAGAAATAATAAGGATTTTCTACCCAATGGAATAGATAACCTTAGCTGTATTTGGCATAACCTTTCGGAATTTTGGCTCCACAATGCTCTTCAACTTCGTACTTTATTTGGCCTTTTTTTTGGACTTTTTTGGTTCGAGCGTCACTTATTAGTCTTTTGTAGACGAAACACTCGTCTAGCGTACACATTTATATATTGGTATGTATGATGAATTTATTTGTAAAGGATGCCATTTGTGGAACAGGGTCTGCTTACCCTTTCAGAGCACCTGACATCATCCTTAGTTTTAGTTGGAGTTGTGTTGATCAATATTTAGTTTTCTTTGTAGTGTTTTGTTAACTTAATTGTCTCTTCGACGTCTCTGGTTTTTTTGGTCACCTTTCCGTCGTCGTCGTCCGTCCGGTGTAAACTATTTCAAACATCTTCTCCTCTGAAACTACAGAACCAAATTAAACCAAACTTTAGCTGAATGGTTCTTAGGTTATCTAAAATAAAGTTTGTGTTTTATTTTCTGTTTCGTCAGAAAACATGGCCGCCATGGCTAAAAATAGAACATAGGGGTAAAATGCAGTTTTTGGCTTATATCTCAAAAACTATAGCATTTAGAGCAAATCTGACTCGGGAAAAATGTTTATTAGGTCAAGTTCAATCAGCCTTGAAATTTTCAGATGAATCTAACAACCCATTGTTGGGTTGGTGCAACTAAATTGGTAATTTTAAGGAAATTTTGTAGTTTTTGGTTATTATCTTGACTATTGTTATAGATAAAGATAAACTGTAAACAGCAAAAACGTTCAGCAAAGTAAGATCTACAAATAAGTTTTATATGACTAAAATTGTCAATTAACCCCTTAAGGAGTTATTGTCCTTTAAGGACAATTTTTCACAATTTGTTTATCATGTTTTCTAACTTTTAAAAATATTCTCCTCTGACACTACTAAACCAAATTAAACCAAACTTAAGCTGAATTATTCTTAGGTTATCTAGAATAAATTTTGTGTTTTATTTTGTGTTTCCTTAGAAAACATGGCCGCCATGGCTAAATTTAGAATATAGGGTAAAATACAGTTTTTGAATTATATCTAAAAAACTAAAGCATTTAGAGCAAATCAGACAAAAAGTTAAAGTAATCATAAGGTCAAGGTCTACTTGCCCTGAAATTATCAGCCAAATCGAATATCTGATTTTTCGGTTATTGCCCCTGAATTGATGATTTTAAGGAAATTTTGCAGTTTTTGATTATTATCTTGAATATTATTATAGATAATTATAAACTGTAAACAGCAAAAATGTTCAGCAAAGTAAGATCTACAAATAAGTTGATTTGACCAAAATTGTCAATTGACCCCTGAAGGAGTTATTGTCCTTTAAAGACAATTTTTCACAATTTGTTCATCTAGTTTGCTTACTTTAAAAAAATCTTCTCCTTTGAAACTGCTGAATCAATTTCACCAAAAATTAGGCTGATTGAGTTTCAGAGTATCTGGTATAAATTTTGTATTTTATTTCCTTGTACGTCAAGAAACATAGCAACTATGGCTAAAATGGAACATAGTGGTAAAATGCCTTTTTTTGCTTTTGAAGAAAATATGACAGATACAAAAAGCATTTAAATGACATTTTTAGGCCACTCATTAATATATATTGAAACGCAAAAATAATCATTGATGAAAGATTTAAGCAAAAAATTACAAGTGGGCGATTCAGGCTCTTGAGAGCCTCTTGTTTTTTAAGGCGTTGTCTTTTTCTCCATGTTTTTAATGCCTCCTTAAAATGGCTTTTCGTTGAAGTCATGCCTTCGAAAAAAAAGTTTGACACCATCCCTTATTGGTTGACCGTTATGGAATATCTGTTTCAAAGATAACGACGGATATGTTTCAATTGTCATAACCAAAATCTCGTCCTCTTTTCAAGACACATGAGTGTTTTATAAACTGGACTTCAATAATAACCCTGGAGAACTATTACACCACGGATTATACAAAACTGTGTTTTATCAAAAAGGAAAAAATAATGCCGCGGGGGCAATCAATAAGTATGCGTCGGAGAAAACCAAATAACGTCTTGACTAATGAAAAAAGACGTGCACTTGAAATAAGAAAAAAAAACCAAATCGAACCCTACCAAAAACCGAGCGTGAATTCAGGTGTTTCTGAGGAGTAGTCCATGCTCAACTAGAATTATCAGTCACAGCAAATAAGAATATCAATTGGGACTAGGATTTTAGCCATAAGTAAAATATAAATGTAGTGGCTAAATAAAAGAGATACAGGTGATACTGAGATCAATACACAGGTTATGTGCACTAGAATGTTACTACATGTACCTGGAAATTGTAAATTTGCAATGAGAAATGTTTTGTTTCCTTTTGGCAAATAATTTAAGGTAATAAGACCAGCATTTAATAGTTCTTTTAAATAAATCAGAATGGATTCTTATTCTTAAAGGTTACAAATTCAACACTGTAATTAAATCTTTTTAAGATTGTTTTTATTGTTATAAATATTGATCTTGTTACCAGTAAATTAAAACCATACTAAATGTTATTGTTAAACACATATGTACATTCACGGTACTACAATATGTCGATACCTATATTTTGGCATACACTAGGTCATGTTTTTAGGACTGTTAATGACGTCTTTTCACTAAATCCATTGGATGCTGGATGTGTACTGTTTGATATTTTAGTCTTAGATGCATGATTTTTTAAATATTGTTATTGGCTTTGAACTAGATGTCAATAACTGCGAGTACTCTCAGATCTGTACTTTATTTCCGTTTTGTTGTTAGGGGTGTATAAATACCCTGCCACATCCGGTCTGCGTTTTTATTGGACGTTTTTCTGCTTTGTATCGATCTGATGAAGCTCTTTTCAACTGATTTTTATAGTTTGTTCTGATGTTGTGTTGTTACAACACTGTCCTAGGTTAGGTGATGGTTGAGCGCTCACAAACATGTTATCCCCTTCATGTGTTCCTCTAACATTCTTTATGTGCCTGTTACAAGTCAGGAGCCTGTAGTTCAGTGGTTGTCGTTTAGTTCATGTCTGTCATATTTGTTTTTCGTAAATTGTTTTGTTATAAATTATGCCGTTAGTACTCTCAATTGAATTGTGTCATACTTTTCATGTCGGGGCCTTTTATAGCCGACTATACGGTATGGGTTTTTCTCTTTTTTGAAGGCGTACGGTTGCCTATAATTGCTTTCATCCACTTTATTTGAACTTTGTGGATAATTGTCTCATTGGCAATCATACCACATCTCCAGATTTTTACATTGGTAAATGAAGACGTCATGATGTGGTCGACCTGAGGGAATATCATGCATTAACACCAGACAGCTTGTGATGCCACTAGCTAATTGGCTTATAGAACATTTCTACAATCATGATAACTGTAATTGGCCTCCAACTTTTGAAAATTTCCGGATATATTCTGGTCAAACGTTCATTATAGGTAGAAACATTCTTACTAATTTCTCATGATGACATTCAATGTGATATTTCACAGAAAATCAGTGTTATTAACACAGTAATGATAATGAAAAAAATGACAGGATATCATTTGGTTGTAATTATTATCTAACATGAAATGAATTTGTCATACAAACTATATTTAGCATACAAGGCGTTATAATTATTCTATTTATTTATAGATAGAAATACATATAAAAAAGGAAATTAAGCAATACTTTTGGGGCATTTAAAATCCATGTAAATAAAATATTATAAAAAAATCTGGCCGTGAAATTTTTTATAGATTTGTACTGATTCACCCTTACAAACACGACAAACGGACTAAAATATCAAAAAATATACTGGACTAGAGTTGCGACTAAACATTGCAACCCATTCTGTCTTTTCTAGTGTATGTATGAACCAAACACACGTGTGTGTAAGCATAGCACGAAATAAAGAAAATCATTTTTTATGTTTACATCTGATGTTAAGGAAATGATATAATTGTATACATTTCAGAAAATATTACATTCAGTACTTACCCAAATCACCACGGAAATTAGATGAAAACAGATTTAAGATGGCGTGCCAAGCACTGGTTACAGACGCAGGGCATAATGATGCACAAATTCCTTCCATAGATATTGACAAAATAAAAATAACTCATGTTAAAACACTAAATATTGGTTCAAGAAGAGAAGAAAGAAATGTAACTAGTATTGTCCAATTACCAGATAAGACAGTTTTCATTGCTAGTTGTGATTTATCAAACGATAGGGGAACATTATATTCCATTTCCTCAGATGGCATGACAACATCATCCAAATGTAAACAAGCACCATATGGAATGACATATTTTGATGACTTTCTTCATGTTTCATATCCAAAGAAACAAACAATCGATATTTATGACAGTGATTTGAAGTTTTGGTATACCTTTGCTCAAGGATATGAATTTCGAGGACTGTCATCAAACGAAACGGACACTGTTTCCATTTCAAAGTTTAAAGGATTCAGTTTTATGGGTAAATCGGGTAATATATATAAAGAGTTTCCTCTTAAATCAACAAACGGAATAAATTTCATTCATTTTAACAAGGAGTATATTTACTTTGCTGATGACGTTAAGCAATGGATAACATGTATCAATACTGTTGGAAAGATGGTATGGCGTTGTAAATTCTTAAATAAAGATCATGAATTCTTAGAGCCAGGTGGAATTTGTACCGACCTGTATGGAAATGTGTTTGTTGCAGACACTTGGAGAAGTAATATTTTTGTCATTGCGGCCGACGGTTCAAAATACAGCCACCATAGTGTAGATAAAGTAAAAGAACCTACTGCATTATGTTTCGATAAGGAAAATTGCCAACTCATAGTGGCAGACAAATCTGGAAGTCCTTGCATATACCAAGTTACATACAGATAACAATTATGTACTATAACTATTTCTATGTACATGTACATATATGCGCTTTATAGAAATAAGAAGATTTGGTATGAGTGCCAATGAGACAACTCTCCATCCAAGTCACAATGTATAAAACGTAAACAATTATAGGTCAAAGTAGGGCCGTCAACACAAAGCCTTGGCTCACACCGAACAGCAAGCTATAAAGGGCCCCAAAATGACTAGTGTAAAACAATTCAAACTGGAAAACCAACCGTCTTATCTATATAAAAAACGAGAAACGAGAAACACTTAAGAACCACATCAACAAACGACAACCACTGAAACAGGTTCCTGACTTAGGACAGGTGCAAACAAATGCAGCGGGTTTAAACGTTTAAACAGGCGCCAACCTTCATCCTAACCCGAAATAGTAGTGTAACATTACAACATAGAAAGACACACTATAAGATATCAATTGAAATGGTTAAACTCAACCAAAAAGACTTATTAACAAAAACAAGTAAACATACATTGAACGAATAAATTTGATCTATGACACAATGTCAAAAAGACAACTATAACCTTGGATAAAATGGCGTTAAATAAAATAACGTAGACAGGTAAATCTAAATATAATAATTTTGTTGTTAGGAGTACGGAGATATTATTTACAAAATAAATAAATTTGTTGTTCATAGTACGAGAACAGCAGTAAAAATGTATCGTCATACTAAATGCTTATCAAAGGTGGTCAGTCTGTCATCAAATATTGACAGTCATTGTCATTGCTGTAAAATTGCTAAATAGTGTGTTAGGGATTTTTTTCAAAAAGCAGTACCCGAAAAAACATTTTGTAAAATTTACGGATTATGCGTTAAATAACGATATATGCATTGTCATTCAAACTTATGTCGCATGTACAAAATAAACTGTATGAATTGCTAGCTTTTCGTTAACTTTGATAGGATAGGATAACACCACTAAAGCAAACAGCATCATGTAGAGAGCATTTCTCATGAAAACCACGACAGGATATATGGAATTAGCATATTTCCAAAAATTAAGAAATAAAAATGAAGAATAAGGCAATGTTTTCCCAAACCATTGAAACCAAATATCATTTTGAAGGCTGTACGGTTGCCTATAATTGTTCATATCCACTTCATTTGAACTTTGGTGGATAGTTTTCTCATTGGCAATCATACCACATACCCTTATTTCTATATCATTAAAGCAAGAATGCAAAAACAAATCATGGTATCAGCATTCTAATCAAATCGCCAAAATGAAGATATATGCACTTCGGCATTAGAGGTAAGACTTGTGTCATCCCGAAGAAAATGATATACTTAAATACGTTAAAAGATTTTAATACATGATTAAGGGGTCATTCTCTCGTTTCAGATTCCATTACTGTTACATTTAAAAGCTGTATGTTACCGTCATTTTAGCAAAGGGTACATTTTTTCTTTATTAAAAAAAAATCACTATTCAAATATTGTGAATCATGGTGAGACATGTCTCGCAAATTAGAACTATACCTGTACCTGTGTGAGTCTTGTAATTGGTTGTCTTTTGTCATATCGTATGTGATTTTGTAACTTTTTACAGTACAATAATTTAGTAAGTCTTCTGTTAAGATAGATAAATTTATTGTTAAAGAGGCTTAGTATGATCGTTGGCAGACATAAATACACTGCCACGTCCGGTTTGTGTTTTTGTTAGATGTTTTTCATCTAAGTATCTCCGTTTTCAACTGATTTTTTATAGTTTGTTCTTATGCTGTACTGTTATACCACTGTCCCAGGTTAGGGGGACAGTTTGGCGCCAGCAAACTAGTTTAACCCCGCAATATTCTGTATGTGCATGTCCCCAAGTCAGGAGCTTGTAATTCAGTGGTTGTCGTTTGTTGCTGTTTATCATATTTGTTTTTCGTTCATTGTTTTGTACATAAATCAGGCCGTTTGAATTTTGTTTACATTTGTCATTTCGGAACCTTTTTATAGCTGATGGGTTTTGCTCATTGTAGAAGGCCGTACGATGATCTATAGGTGTCAACGTCAATGTCATTTGGTCTCTGGTGGAGAGTTTTCCCTCTGACAATCAGACCAAATCTTCTTATTTTTATATAGCTATACATGTACTGTTGATTATATAAGAAGATTTGAGAAGTTGAGGTATTAAACAAATAGATGAATGGTGTTCATTGTGGTTAGGTCTATAAGTAGACTGGACAGTATTAGGTTTCAGGTTATAAGGTATAATCTAATAATGTGTCCACATCATAGATACAAGTTTCTAGGATTGTTTACTATTTCGTCGGTAACTTTGTCAACGTCGCCAAGAAACAGTGTTGTTACATATACATCTTCAATAATATCATAATAAGTCATAGAAAGAGGGGAAAGAGGGGAAAGAAAAGAAAGAAAACAGGAAAAAAAGAAAGAAGACCAAAGATCAAAGATCAAACATGTAGCACTGGTGTCAACGTGATGATCGTAACTGCAATTACGATCATCCCAATATGGCGGACGCAAATTCAGGTAAATTTTATATGGCAGATTTCTCCACTTTAACAAGTTACTTTCAGGTTTGTATCATGTCAAGAAACATCTATATAAGCATTGTCATTGAATGTTTTTTTCCTAAATGATGGAAAAGCAACCAGAAGAACGAAAATTGAGAACACGTTGATGATCGTAACTTTTATTTATTTTTATCAACGATGATCGTAACTTTTATTTAAGATGATCGTAGCTGTCTGTTCCAGCGAAGCATTTTCTGATTAATAAAGTTGTCTGATAGGCAAAAAGGGTACATAATCAGCTATAATCAGCTATAAAAACTGTGATAATAATAAGGGACGATCACTGGAAGGGAGGGTAACGTCCTATTGATTGGTATACATCTTCGCTAGCCAAGGGTTACGATCCACTTCCCTCCTCTCCACCCTTGGCAGATTAAGGCAACATTTGTGATAACAATGTTGCGTCATCTATTGGCAGATTAAAATCACGCCCATTACGAATACATTATTCTTGACCAATGGTAGCACTTGAACTCTTCAATTTGGAGGTAAAAACACGGTAGCGTCTAGATTCTACACACTTGGTAAAGCAGGAAACGAAAATATACGTTGACATTCATGCATTTGTGTAAGAAACATACACAGGAACTTTTATTAGTTGATTAAAAACATTCAAATTGTCACTAAATATAGTCGTATGTTTAGGGATGTAAAGACTTGTTGCACAATAAGCACGTTGCAATTGTTTACATAAACTTTCTACATTTACACGTGATCATGTTATAGACGCTTTTTGATTGGATGCAGCGAGTTTCTACTGCAACCAATGAAAATCATTACCTTGTGTCTCCGAAATTCTATCTCAATCCGCCAAGGGTGGAGAGGAGGGAAGTGGATCGTAACCCTTGGCTAGCGAAGATGATTGGTATACGGGTAAGTGCACAAATAATGGTTTTGTGAGATTTGGTATTTTTTTAATCCAATTCTATATCAAAATGCCTTGGAATTTACAACTTTGTATTGATATCATCTAGCTTATATAAATATGGTATTGGACAATTCATATTAGTAGCCAGTTTGGTAAAATTTGAGATTTTTCTCTGTGGAACAAATTGTAAATGTCATTTGTCTGGTGTTGGTATATAAACACAATATTCTATATAAGTAAAGGTCATTCTTTTTATATACATGTATTTATTTAAGTATTGATACTAATTTGCAGTGAATGCAATATAAAATTTGGAACATTTTTAAGGCAGAAGTGGCACATTTCTACAACAAAATCTAAGTACCAACTCCCCCCTTTTTTCACCAACACACACATACACTTTGTAGGGACAATAGTACCTATCGAGATCCTGATAAATTTTGAGAATTCGGATTTTATAGTTTTCATTAACAGATGCAGGAGCTTTAAAGGAGAGGTGAACAAATATAGCAATATAGAAACGAAATCATATCTGTTCAATGAAAAAAAAATATTTGAAAAAATAAGTTATTGAGATGTTTGGCTAAAACAACTTCTTCAACTAACTTCAATAATACGTGTCATATATTCGTAAGTGTAAAGATTTATCTTGTGTGTACTGTGTGAACTTGTGTGAACTTGACAATTTTATTCGATCATCCCTCTTTTTCTTTTCTTTTCTTTTGTTTTTTTTTTGTTTTCTCTAGAGTAGAAAAACAAAAAAAGAATTATCACCGTGATATTATTTCTTTTATACACTGCTAAAAACATGTTGAACAGGAGCATTATCCAATGGATGATGTATTGGTATGTGTCCTTGATTTCTAGAAATATTTGCAACTAACGTAAAGTACTTGCAATCATTCAATCAATTAATTAATGTTTCCTATAATTGTTAACTTTAAATACACTGTGAGTTGGATGGAGAGTTGTCTCATTGGCACTCATGCCACACCTTCTGGTTCATATTAAGCAGCTATGTGTGAATTATGCTTAACTTGGCGAGATAAAAATGTCATTTTGATTTGATTAGTTTCACACGAGGTTTCACAACCAAATTCACATCTTCATGATTGTTATCAGTTTTATGTTCAAAGAAAGAGGCAGTGTCTAGCTATTGCAGACACAATTTCATTTTACTATTATGATTAAAACGAATTATGTTATTTTTTTTCTATGAAATATTTTGGTTTCATATGAATGTTTATTTTAGGATGAATCTTTGATCAGTCTGAATGGTAAACATTGTGTTTTTTTTTCTTTTCTTTTGTATTGTTGAATTATACAATATGTTGACACTCTTTCAAGTTTACTGCAATTACCACCCATTTTACCATCTGTTAAGAAATGTTTTTGAAGGCTATTTCACTATCATAAAACGTTCTTTAACTGTGGACCGGGGGCTTTTAAAAAAATGTAATTTTTGAATTCTAAAAATTCATGCCGCGTGTATGATTGTTCTTACTTGTTGTTCAAGGTTATGTTTTGGTCACGCATTTAATTGATTCATAAGAAAATAATTTCATTTGATTTGAATATCCTTGAAAAATAATGAAAAATATTGAATACTTACATTACAAATATATTTTTTAAAACTGCGATATTACATCATAGATCATAGGGAGGTAGTTATTGTGAACTTGAAATTGATTATTGATCTTCAGGTTTTATGTTTTATTTCCTTTTTTGAATCTGTTACTGTTAATTATGCCTCATTCTCACGTAATGCGAATTAGAAAAATATTTAACGTTTCGGGAACGGGTAAGAGGGGAAAGGTAGTTAGGGAAGAATAATATGCTGACAAAATAGGGAGAAAACAGGCAAACAAATATTAAAAAAGACAAGATAAATGGAGATATGAGAAAGGAAGGGAAGGTGGGAGAAGAAAAAAATACTCCGCCCCTACCGGTTGTTCATATTAAAAGAGACAAATTAGCTTTTAAAAAATGAACAGAACACATGTTACTAATACAAAATATTATTCATCGTATTGTAATAATAGATTATGTTTTGTAGATATTTAGAGTTGTTTATAGAATGTTATATTCCATGTATCATATCTCAATATATTAATTTAGATGAAATGAATATTACAGGATCCCTCCCTGATCTGTTTGTGGCAGTTGGGTCAGTGCTGTTGATGGATGTATCCATTAACAATAGAACACCAACGAAAAGGGTGAATCATGTCACAGATACCGTACATTTTATTGAAAATGCTTCATTCTTTTATCTTAAATCGACTAAAATATTACTAATTTTTTTAACAATATTAAAATAAATCAAGTACAAGTATTTCTTGTTTCAGGCAAATATCTACAGCAGATGTTTAAATGTGGTTAATGTTTCTTTGTTCTTTTATATCTCAGAAGTATATATCCGATTTTTAATAGTATTTCTGAAACTGTCTAAACAATTTGCATTTCATACTTGATCTTAATTTTCTTTT